AAAAAGGGTTAAGTGTAATAAACCCTCATTTCATCCATTTCCACCGCCATTCTCCTTCTCTACTCTCTTTCAATTTTTGCTTTCAATTATTCCAAGTTTTCTAAGGGATTTAAGAGAGCTTTTGAGTAATTTTGAGTAGAGATTTCATCTAAAGCATCCTAAGGTAAGCATTCTTGCTTTAGATGTGAGTTTTGCTAAGGTTGTATTGAAGTCTTATTTGGTTATTGTTGTTGTTGTTGTTGTTTTGAGTTGTAGAGAGAAGACAAGACAACAAGGGAAAGGAAAAGTGCTAGAGAAGTCACTTTTGCACAAGTAAATCCAATTTAAATTGAGGTTTAGGAATTCATTTGAGCCCTAGGAATTCATTTGAGTAGAGATTGTGTATGTGTAATGTTGTTGAGATGAGATGAGAAAAGATTAGTAATTATTTCTTATTGATTATGTTGAGTATGAGAAGTGTTGAACTTCTATGAGGTTGAGTTGGGTTGATAGAAGAAGTTGGAGGGAGTTTGTTGTAAACCTATTTGGAAGTGTTTCTTTGTTAGGGTTTCTAGTTATTTGAGGGAGTTTTCTCCCAATTTGGATGGCTAGAGAATGTAGTAGAGTAGTAATTATAGTTGAGATTTTGCATGCACATGAATTATTTGATGAAATGTCTAAGAGAAGTATGAGCATGAATTGTGAACCTTAATTCTTGCTACATTGCATATTGACATTTCTTAATTTCATTATTGAGCATAAACCATCCATGTGCCTTAATTGTGTATTGAGTTATAGCTTGAGAGAGAGTAGAGATTTTTTAGTATAAGCTACACTATGAGTGTTAGTTTGAGAAAGAGTAGAGAAATTGAGTTTGAGCTACTCAAATAATAGAGAGAATGAGCACTAGAGACTAAAGAGAAAGTAGTGCTAAATAAGTGAGTAAAGTAGGTTGTGCGATGGGGAACCTGTGAGTATGGGTAGAGTATTCCCGCATGTACGCCACATTGAGAAAGCGGCATGAGTATAAGAGAGAGAAGTGGTGTAGCCCGTGAGAGTGCATGCGGATGAGGGCTATACCCGAGAGTATCCGAGAAAGAGCTATACACTCACATGGCCACAGTTTCCGAATCCATACATAACCGAGTCCGATCGACTAGAAAGAGTAGAAGTCACGAAGAGTGGGAACGAGTCCCGACCGTGCCTTCGGTAAGATGAAGTCGTGACTTACTAATAGAGAGTTAGTAGAAAAGAGTTAAGAGAAAGAGCAAACAAAGAGAGTATAAAAGAGAGTGTAAATGAGAATTGTAAGGAAAGAATTAGAGAGAGAGTTACGGGAATAGATGAGTAGAGGATTTACTTACTGAGCCTTAGTTGTGCTCATCCCGTTGTTTTTCTATGTTTTGCAGGATCTAGGTGAGGATACAGTCGGATGGGCGTCGGCAAGCGAAGGGATATGACTACACTGTCCACCCTGTTATTGATGTTTTTGTACATGATACAACCTTTTGTATAAAGAATGTGTATGTTTAATAAAAGAAAATTTTGGGCCCAATTTTTATGCTTTCTTACATGTATTATTACTATGTATATTTTTAAAAGAATATGAGTAGAATGGAGTCGTTACACGTGTGATGACATTGAATGATTCGGAGAATTTTCCCAATCCTGCGGTGGTCCGAACCAACCTGTGGACGATGGGGATTTCTTGCATGACGACGATCGAGTTCGTTATTTTGGCGATATTGGGAATCTCCCTGCCTTGCACTTTTGTGGGAGTGGCCATGCGACGTGGCGTGGGACGGCTCATGCTTTGACATGTCGCCAAGTCGCAATGCCACTGGTATTCTACCCGTTGCGCCACCGGTGGTCACTAGTCCCTTGAAGCCCTCTGGTCTACTGTTTGACATTTGCTTTCCCTTTCTTTGACACACTACAGTGCGCGTGGTACTGGCTTTCGCCCTTTTCCGCGCTTTTGCGAGACCTGCAGATGTTTTTTGCGGTGGCATCGCCTTATTGGATTCTGGTGGCATGACCCGATTCAAATGGTCTAGACTTTGGCTAACCGTTTGGAGAGTATTATTGAAACTCTCCAGGTAACTCATAACAGTTGGGTCGAGCCGCGAGCCTGAAGGAATATCTGCCATGATACTCTATTAGACTGACAATACTTCGGGAGAAATGTCCCCTTGTACCTGGGGGATTTCCTTATTGTCATAGTTGGTTCGCTCAGATTCAAAACTGCGAGTCATTTGCTGATTGGTAGGACCGATTAGTCAGAGATTTATGACGAAGAGCGGATACTAAATCAGGACCTCCTTCTAGCGCCAAACTGTTGATGCTTGATTTTGACACCAACGGCTCACACGTGCAAAGTGCTAAACAGACTTAGAAATCACACGTGATAAGGAAACATGAAATGAAACAATGAATGAGAAGCGATATTTAAACTGGTTCAGATGCTCAAAAGCGAATCCTACGTCCACTGCTATTGTATTAATAGATGGGTAAATCAAGTCGCGTGCGGCAAGCTGAATTATGATCTAGAGAGAATACAAAAAGAGAGAGAAAGTGTGTAAGCTATTTTAGACTAAGATTAGCCAATCCAGTAAATGAGAGGGGTGTCCTATATTTATAGTGGGAGAGTTCAAGGTAATAATTACAAATCTGCAAGTGGGTAGGTACTGTGTAAATCTTTCTTTGCGTCCCATTGGTTATCCGCACGAGAAATATCCTCAAATTGCGTAGGGCTTGGGCAGGTGGATAATCCCTGACCACTTGCGAGTTTGGCGTTCACCTGCTACATTGATAAGAACTATACCTCTTCCGTCACCGCGTGATGTGGCAACGCCTGGACGAAACAAAACCTTCCCAAATCTTGATTGGCTCTTGCTGACGAGAGTCCACTTCAGCCTTAACTTTACAGGCATAACACAACACACACACATTCACATCAAAAGAGTAAAAGAAAATTCCATCGTTACAAATAATTTAAGAAGGTCCCCGCCGCGCCAAATTGTTCACTGGCGCATCACAAACGCTATACTGTTGCTAAGCCGCCATGTTCACCAAACCTTGCTTTGTGCTTATGTAGGAGATGGCAGAAATAATAAGAAAATTAAATTGGGGAAGACAATGTGTGAGAAACTTAAGTTTTACAAAAGGATATATATATATATAGGAAGGGTGCCTTTGTTTTAATATTTTGGATAGTATTTTGGATATTTTTAGAGTTGGGTAAGAATAACGACGTAAGATTTAAAAATTAACAAAAACACTCCCCTAGGTTTGTTGATTTATTAAACACCTTTGTAATAAAAACATTAAAAATTACAAAAATAGCCCCATCCACCCATTAAATACCAACAACCAGCCACCACTATCGGAGGGTGGCCATAGTCGTCGTATCGGCACATGACCAGCTGGATTTAGCTGGTCGTACGCCGAGATGACATTTTTCCAGCCAGATCCACTAGAAAATGTCAGATCTATGGCCAGATCTGGCCATGTTTGGTCGTCAACGATGGCCGTTGTTGATGGTCAACGACGGCCGTTGTTGATGGTCAACGACGGTCATATCTTGGCCATCATTGATGACCAGCTACGGCCAAAGATCTGGCTGTTGATCTGGTCGAAAAATGATAGATTGGCATACTACTGGTTAGATCTAGTTGGTAATGTGTCATTATACTAGATTCTAGCCGTCTTTCAACGGTAGTAGCTGAAATCTGACAAATATGGATGTATGTGGGTATTTTTATTAATTTTTAAATTTTTTTTTTGGTATTTGGTTAAATTAATAAATTTAAAAGGTTTAAAAATAGTTGGATAAAATATAATAATATTTTTAGAGTAAGAAAACAAATTGGTATTTTAAAAATAATATGAATAGGATAGTGGAAAAGATTAAACCAAACCGACCAATGTTTTATGTTAGATGCGGTTTTTTACTCTTCCAATAAACTGAATTATCAGATGTGATTTTTCCTTTGTAATTTGTATTATAAGTCTTTCAAAAAAGATTTATGGGGATTCACATTATGCTTCTTTAATCAGAATCTGACGTAAATAATACTATACCACTCTTTTGTCAGCTATCTAATTTTATAACAAGAAAACGAAACTCTTTTGTTTCAACAGGCCCACACCTACAGTAACAGACCTAATAATTTTACTTGAAATTAAAACGACATGTTTTAATTGCAACCCAAGACCAAAACTAATCACATCAATTCTCTCTCTCTCTCTCTTAATTCTTTCAAATATTTATTTATTTATATATATAGAGAGAGCAAGCACTAGCAGCTTCCAGCTTGTAATTTATCAGAACCACTGCCATTCTGCTCCTGCAGTGTCATATCTTTGTGTATCATCTCATTTTCTCCCTTAATTAATTCCAATCACTATCAAATGGCAGCCTTTTCTTATAACCAGCAGCAGTTTGTTCTTGACTCGTTTCTTGTGCCAAACACCTCGAACAACATGCATAGCATATCTCATGATAATCATAATAGTACTCAGACTACAACCTTTACCACCGAAACTTGTTTTCCTCATATTCCGCCTAATCATCATCATCAATCTCTTCAGGAGATTCCTTTGCATCCTCAAATCCATGAAACTTCCACTGTTAAACTTTCTTCTTCATGTACTAGTACTACTACTACTGACCTTTCTTTTATTGTAAAACAAGGTTCAGTTTCATCAGCCATGGTGGGTGAGCTTGCTGGAGGTGATCAAGTTTCTCAGGTGGGTTTCAGCTCAATGGATAAGAAGAGAAAGAGCATGGAAATGAAGGTGCATTATTATTAGTTACAACTTCAAAATTACTCTTAATTTGCGTGAACAATATCTGAATTTGATCTTTTGGTTTCATTTTGATTATTAGGTGGAAATGGTAGGCAAAGGTGATGAGAAAGAAAGAAAGTACAGTGGTAACCCAGGAAAGGCTGAGGACAGAAGGGTGAAACGTGCTCCAAAGAAACAGAAGAAAGTTCCTGAAGAAGTTCCAAGTGGTTTTATCCATGTAAGAGCAAGGAGAGGTCAAGCAACAGACAGTCACAGCTTAGCTGAGAGGGTAATTAAGTGATTAAACAACTCTTTAATTAGTGTTTTATCCCCTTAAAAAGCTTATTTTCTTCTCAATTTGCCGGTCCATTTACTCTCTCTTTCTGTTCAATATCTGTATCTCTTTTTACAAATGAATTTGCAGGTGAGAAGACAAAAAATTAGTGTGAGGATGAAACTATTGCAATCACTTGTTCCAGGGTGTGATAAGGTGACATTCTATTTTCCGGAATATTAAGTTTATTTCATTTAATTTCCTATGAATTCCAAAATTTGAGTGGGCCTGGCAAGAGAAGAATCCCAAATTGATGCCTGGCAGACGTCTTTGACTCTGTGGACAAGGGTCAAGGATTGGCTGGCATGTTTTTCATTCCTTGTTTGAATACCAAATTTGATTCCTTTGAATTACATATATTAACAGGTAACAGGCAAGGCTTTAATATTGGATGAAATTATTAAATATGTCCAAACCCTACAGTCTCAAGTAGAGGTAACCCTTCAACACATATATACCTTAATTAAACAATGATTTTTCATTTAGTTAAACTTAATTTATTGTGTAATCAACCACTAATCATTCTCATCATCATCATCTTAATCTTATTTTCAGTACCTGGCTGCAAAACTTACTTCTGTAAATCCCACATGTAATGACTTTGGCCTGGACTTCGATACATACACACTTACCCAGGAGGTAACCTTTACAATTTCTTCATCTATATACAGTATGAATGTATGATAGATCTATCTTCTGATGTGATAACTTTATTTTAATTTACTTTTCATATGATAAATTTTCAGAAGACTCGTTGTTTGGATTTTCAATTGCCACCTGTTCTAGAATCCAACTCCACCCAGCTCACATCTTTCCCTGAGAAAATAACTACTCTAAATTCCCAGCTGTTACCTCTTGATCAGGAGCAAAGATCCAACATTTCCTTTCAGGTACGCATATTTTGATTACCAATGTAAGATATTATATTCATAAGAATATATATTATACAGTTCTAATTAGCTTTAATAATTAAATATTACTTTCAGGATAATGATAATCTGCTGTGGGGCACAGACAGCAACCGGAAACATGAACTGGCTAATTACTGTGGATTAGACGGTTGGAGCTCTCTCTAGCGGTAATTGGGGGAAAAAAAAAAACAAAAAAACTTACAGAAACCTGTAGCTATAAGGTCTTGCTAAATCATATGTCTTACAGAATTTTTGGTTAATTTCTTTGCAGGAAAAAATATCACTGAGGAAACAGAAAACAACTGAGAAAAAGCCAGGCAAAATAAATGCTGATCTACCAATTTATATCCAAGGATAGGAGTTACGCACATAATCTCCTGTAATTTGAAGAGAACTTTCTGCTTTTCATTTCATTCGTTAAAAGAATAGAGTCGCATGCATGTTATCTTCCGGATTCTAAATTATGATGAGTTCATTATATTGCTGCTGAGAAGTAGTTGCCATTTTGTACTGTAATGATCCAATGTTACTTTTTTGGACTTATCGACCTGTTAATTATCTTTTACCTCTTAATTATCTGAAAAAATAAAATTAAACGTCGCTCCAATTCGATGTTTGAGAAGATAAATCCTGTCGTTGTTCACCCTTCAATTTCTTTTATATATATTATATGTTGATTTTTTTGTTGTTACTTTAATTGTCAACTGTTACAATTTCAAATACAAAATTGGACTAAAATAATAATGCCAAACAGTACTTTTAATGTTGAATCTTGCGCATGAAATGGACCCTCCCCCGGTGTATTTGTCAATCAATTTTAGTGCGTCATGGAAAAACTGCATTCGCAAATATTATGATTGAGGGTTTGTAAGGGTACCGATTTGATGTTTCAGTAGGGTTTGTAAGGGTGGGTACCGAATTGATTTACTATATTTAAACATATAAATTAAGACTTTGATTTGATTTAATCAACGGTACTGAAGCATAAAACCATAAGAAAAGACCTTTGATTGGTCAGTAAATTCTACATATTAAACTATAATAAATTGGTCTTACTTTTAACGCTTATCATGATGTTTAAATATTGTAGAAGTGTTAATTAATTAATATTATATTGAGTCAACTGATTATTATTTAGTTAAAAATAACCAAAAAAAAAAAAAAAAAGCTTCACGTTGTTCAAGAACATGAAACCACTATCATTTCAAACGGTGGTTAATTGGCTTCTGAAACTGTGGTGCTTCGACTGAATTAAAAAAGATGGTTAGTTGCTTTCTTGCATTTGAGGTTTTGGACGGCGATGCTTCTCTGAGAGAAGGAGATTGTTGAAAAGTAAAGAAGTAATTTGAAAATGAAAACAGAAAAAAGCCTGCGTAGAATACTTTAGATCCCATGTAAACATTGACCAAGTAAAAATTATTTCAGTCCAATTTTCCTTTCCCATTCCCCCGTCTAATCAAAGTCTAAGAAGGAACTTGCCGGTCCAAATCTTATTCTTAAGGGTGTGTTTAGTTAGGGCTCAGGAAAGATAACTCCCAATCTATCTTTAATTCCGAATATTTTCTTGTTTGGTTATCAAGTAACAAAAGATTTGGGTGAAAATCATATTTTCAATAATAAAATATTCTCTGAACCAAACGCACCTTAAAAGACAGATTATCATCGTCATAACCATATATATATTCTGTTTGTTTTTATCTATCTTCAACAACATTTGGTTAGAATATTTTGAATCAGTTGCTTTAATTGAAATCTTCGATTCATTCAGCATCAGCCTTGTACAATATTTCTAACCAAAACCTAAGTCTACGGAACAAAACACCAATAATGAAGATAAATGTGAAGCTATGGAGGCTTCAAATTCTTCGTGCATGTCTCTTCAATTCCTTGTTTTGACGTGAATGCCGCCTTTTGCAACAAATCAACAGTAGCAGCCGCCCATGACAAGCACGCAAAAAACAATCGCATCCGCAGCTAAAGATCCAACAAGTTTCAAAAGTCTTGAGCACCAGTAACCTAGCTAGAAAATTCTTTTCCAGTTTTCCTGTAACTTATAGCAATCCAGCTGCATCCCTCGCTAGCTTTTCATCGTATTCCTAGGATCACTTTAAAAAGTGTTTAATTAATTAATATTTCTTTTTTCTCTATTCTTTGATAAGGGTACTTACTCTATTAATGACTCAAAAGTTTACTATAAACCAAGCCCTTTTGATGAATTATAATATCCTATTTAATTCTGATCCCATTTTGTCATCCATAGATATATAAGGTAGTTGAAAAAATAATCATGAATATTTTTGTATATTAGTTTACATTCTTTCAATTTGAAAATTAAATTATAAAGATTTAAATTTACCATTTCTTATATTTTTATTTCTCTAATTTTCTATTATCCCCTTAATTAATAAATTCTAAAACATATATTTATTATTTTCTTTTCTAATATTTTAGTTTTGAATAATAATATGTTTTTTTTGTTAAATTGTTTTTACTATATATATATTATAGCACGATATTTGTAGCTTAAAAGTCGCTTATCAAAAGTAAAAGTTGCTTATCAAAAGTAAAACTTATAATCATGTGAATTGTACTCATTTTAATATCTAATATATAAATGATAAGATTATTATAAAACAAAATTTTGAAACATATTTATGACCACTAATTTAATATAATTTTGTGATATAAAAGCTGTCGAATTGACATAAAAAATATCGATTTTAACTTTTCTTTTAAGTTAATTAGATTTTAAGTTCATTAGGTTAATTGTATTAAATTAAATTTAATAAATTAATTATGTTACGAATTTGTGTTACAATAATATAAGTCATAAATGTAGGAATTCTAACATGAATTCCATTCAATTCTAACAATTAATCCGAAGGTTTGCATATTAATCATAGAATACTGAATTTAAACTTTAAAGATTAGAAAAACATGATTCTGCCATGATTTTTGAATTTTTTGAATTCCCTGTGAATAGTGACCGGTCTTCCTTTACAGAAACCCTCCAAAATGACAACTTTCAAATAGGGTTCAACATTCAATCACGTTATGGGAAGGAAACCTAGCCAATTTAAATCAACCTATTGGGTCCTCCCATTAGAAGTCCAATAAACTCTAAAACCCATTAACACATACTTGTCATCAACCCATATTATTCAAAATGGAGTGTACTATTCAAATTCTATAATGATCACCAGGCACGTAGCCACATAGTGGCTTGTGGGTTTAATTGAACCCACTAAACTTTTTAAAAATTTCAAAAAAATATTAATAGTTTATAGAATTTACAATTTTAACCCCACTTAACTTCATATTGCCCCACAAAATAAATTATTAATTAATACTTTTTAAATTTTTCTCTTTTCTTTATTTCATCTCTTTTGCTCTCATATTATATTTTTCTTTTGGTTGAATACTCAATAAATGTTACTCCTTTGGATTACAAGGTAAGATGATACTAATTTTATTTTTATTTTTTTAATTTAAAATTAATTCTATTTTTTTTTTATTTTCTTAATTGATGAAAGATCATGAGTTATGAGTTTTTATTGAGTTTAATAAATGAGTTTGAAATAATTCCTAGATTTTGATGTGGGTTTTGATTTAATCTTGTTTATGTTGATGTATGGCTTAATTAATTGCTATTTTAAGTTGGGTTTGATAAATTGTGGTTAGTTATTGAGTTAATTTTGAATATGGTTTAAACAATTAATGAAATCCTAAGTTGTAGAGATTTAGGGATTTGGTTTACTTTCGATATATTGGTTAGTTGTTTGATATTTAGAGTTAGATTTGATGAGTTTTTATGGGTTTATAAGTTGAATTTTATTTAGTTAGTAGAAATTGTTTGAAAAACCTAAGTTATGAGTTGAATTTTGATGAATTTGTGTGTTTTTTTTTAATTGTAATTGCAAATAAATTATATTTCTGATAATAAAAATTCTTTTATTTTTTTAGTTATGGACAAGTTTTTTATTAAAAGAAAGTTTTCTAATGAAGAACCATCAATTGAACAAAACATAAGGCATCACGATAATGTTCATAATGTGTCTATGGAATCTAGTTTAAGACAAACATATGTTAAGCTTAACTTGAGTAGTCTTCTTGGAGATCCTGGATCGAGGATTAAAATTTTAGAATATCATCCTAATGATAGAGATAAAGTGAGAAAGACATATTTGCAAAAAGGACCTTGCCAATCACACAATCATAATTTTAAAAAGCAAGCAATTGAGAATTTATTGCGTCATTTTAATCCTATTTGGTTTAGAGAATATGCAAATTGGTTGGAGTATAGTGTAGAAAAGGAGGGTGTTTTTGTTTGTATTGTTATCTTTTTAGACATGAAATTAGTATTGATATTACCTGTTGCAATTGCAAGTGTTGAAAGAGCATTTTTTGCGATGAAGATTGTGAAAAATCGACTACAGTATCGAATGAGAGATCAATTGTTAAATGATTGTCTTATTACATATATTGAGAGAGAGATATTTGATGGAATTGTCAATGAAACAATTATGCAATATTTTCATAATATAAAAAATCGTCGAGGATAATTATACAATTAATAATTTGGTATATATAACTTTTAAAAATATATTTTTTATTCTTATTATTTCAATATATATTTTATTGTAAATTTATCAACTTTAATATTTTAAACTCATTGACTTAGAATCCTGACTACGTCCCTGATGATCACATAAACCCATAGAATATATGATGATTATGTATTTACTCGGTTTTATCAAACCCAAAAAAAATTAATGTTGGTCCACAATTAAAAAAAATTCTAACAGTATATAGATATAATATTTTATGTGGATATTGATCCATAATTAAAATAACATAAATATTTTTTATACTTAAAACATAATATATAGTTGCCGACAATGCCTTAGTTAGAATCTTAATTACGTAACTGGTTAAAATATGAACGGAGTTCAGAGTGGTTCTTTTTCTGTCCTTGGAGGCCGAAAGATTGAAAATGATATTAAAGAAATTCTTCAAAGCAGAAATTTCAAAGTCTCGTACTTTATCATAATTCTAAATAATGACATACTACGACTTCACGTAAATTAACATGTGAATTTAATCACAACGCTAGAGAGAGACAAAAGGGAGAATAAGACCAAATTTGCGTGTCATAAGTTATCAATTAGGATTTATGATAAAGATTTTTAATCTGGGAATTATTCCTTTGCTTTCTTGACTAAAACATAAAATTTGTCTTCACCTTATCGTTAATAGGTTTTTAATTATCTCTTATGCTCATTTCGTGTATAAAGTTGACAAACCGATTAACACTGGCAAACTATGACTTTGTTTGTTATACGGGAATACTATTATTAGTATTTCCAATAAAGTTAAAAATATAATTGACTTTTTCTTAAAATATTATTCTATATTATTCAATTTCTTTTAAATCCTCGTAAATTTGTTAATTTAACTAAACACTCTTAAATATTTTTTTAAAAAATTACAAAAACACCCCAGCAACCCTCCGACGGTGGTGGCCGGCTGTCCGTATTTAATGGATGGGTTAAGGGTATTTTTGTTACCTTTTACTATTTTATTATAGGGGT